ACATATTAAAAAATCAATAATTCTCCTGAGACCCACAAGAGAGGCAAGGACATAGGGTGCACAAGGCACACTACTTCCCCCAGGACTGGAGAGACCTATAGGTAAACACTGGTAGTAACACTTTATTAGAGCAGAGACTCAAGCGCAGAAACCACTATGGGAACTAGCACTAGAGAAAGAAAACCTGACCTGCCATTGATGATGAGACTCAGTGTGGACAAGTTTGTGAAATTTATCTCCACACATTCAACCAGGCTCCATAGTAAATACTGGAAAACATTTCTTCATACTTCTGACAGAGCATTCTGTTTTTCTAGTAACAAAACTAACTGGGTATTATCAGAGCCTAACTGACTTGGTGGGAGGGAAATACCCAATGCTATCCCCCTCCAGCCATCTGGATCCTCCTAATGGGTAGAAAAATCTGAGAAACATGATATTTACAGTTCAGAGGCACAGGCCCATTAAAGACTGGGACCTAATCATGAAACTGTAGAATATTTTCCCTCGCTCCATATTATAAGGCCTATATACAGTGGTTCTTTATACTCAGAATGTCATATCTGGCTATCCAGGAAAAAGTTACAAGGCGTACTGAAAGGGAAAATAAATTTTGAAGAGACGGAGCAAATATCAGAATCAGACATGGAAAGGATGAGGAATTTAAAACAACTATGATCGATCTTCTAAGGCCCCTAATGGATAACATAGACAGCATGCAGGAACAGATGGGCAATGTAAGTAATGAGATGGCCATCCTAAGAAAGAATCAAACAGAAATGCTGTGATCAAAAACACTGGAACAAAATTGAAGAATGCCTTTGAAGGGCTTATTTGTAACCTGAACATAACTAGGAAAGATATAAAGATAGAGGATATAAAGATAGAAATATCCCAAACTGAAAAACAAAAATACTAAGAAAAACATCCCAGAACACAAAACCATATACAAGGACTTTAGGAAAAACAAATGGATAATGATAATATCAAAGAAGGAAGAGAAAAAGACTAGAAGAATTTGAAACAATAACAACTGAGAATTTTGCCAAATTAATGTCAGGCAAAAAAAAAAAAAAAATAGATTCAGAGAGCTTAGAGAACGTGAAGCAGGAAAATGACAAAAAAACAAACACACACACACACAAAAACAAACAAACCACATAATTGGGCACATCATTTTTTTTTTTAATATATTTTATTGATTTTGTACAGAGAGGAAGGGAGAGAGATAGAGAGCTAGAAACATCAATGAGAGAGAGTCATCGATCAGCTGCCTCCTGCACACCCCCCACTGGGGATGTGCCTGCAACCAAGGTACATGCCCTTGACCAGAATCGAACCCGGGACCCTTCAGTCCCCAAGCCGATGCTCTATCCATTGAGCCAAACCTGTTTCGGCTGGGCACATCATTTTTAAACTAAAGGGAAATCAAAGATAAAGTAAAACCCTGAAAATAGTCATTGTTAAAAAAAGCACCTTACCTATAAAGGAACAAAAGTAAAAAATACACTGGAACTTAGATTTTCCAGAAGGCTGTTAGAGAAGCAATTTGTACAAAAACCTAATCCATTTTTTTTTTCATTAGAAATAATGTAAATTGAATTAATTCTTTCCAGACCCCTAAATGATAAAGTTTTAATCTTTTTACATATAATACATTCCAATGTACTACAAATAAACACATTAAATATAAAAGGACATGAAATTTAAATGAAAATTTAACAAAAATAAATGAAATATGCATAAAAAATGAAAAATTTCATACATATTTACTTGAATAAATTAAGTTATAAAGCTGAGGTTCCACTGTATTTTGTTTTTTAAGCTCTATACTTCTCACAACTTTCCTTTTCATTTTGCTGCTATCAATAACCTTTTTAGGGCCTATGGTGACTTACTGTACATATTTAATAATAATAAGCTGGGGGGAGAAAAAACACAAAAATATTCCTAGCACAAGGTTTAGTGGTAAACTTACTCAAACACTCACACATTCTCTCCGTTGTCTCCTGAAATACATGACTGTTCAGACAAGTATCAGCATGAAAGGATTGTCTGTCTAGAACTGAATTTTTGTTTGACAACTGAAATATTTTCCATGAATAACTTGGTCAATAATCAAATTGTTCTAGATGGGAGACATTGGAGAACTTAAGTTTGACTGTGCATCTAACTTCTCAAACACGATGGAATCAAGAAAAAAGTAGAATGAAGTACTTAAAGGGCTGAAGGGAAAACAAGTCTAAAAACCCTACCAACACAGAATTCATATCCTGATAATCATCCTTCAAAAGTGAAGAGAAATGAAGACTTTGTTAAAAAAAATTAATTTTCTTGTTGAGAGTATTAGAGATGTCCCCCATTTTAGCCTTTGGCCACCCTCCACCTGTATCCTGTCCCATCCACGGCCTTCACCACATTATTATCTGTGTCTAAGGGCTATGTATACATGCATATAAATTATTTGGTTAATCTCTTCCCACTTGCCTCCACCCTTCCCTCTGAGATCTGTATCCATGCCTCTGGACCTGTTTTATTCATCAGTTTATTTTATTGGTTAGATTCCACATATCAGTGAGAACATGTGATATTTGTCTTTCTTTAACTGGCTAATTTTGCTTAGCATAATAATCTCCAGGTCCATCCTTGCTGTCTCAAAAGATCAGAGACCCATCTTTTTTGTAGCTGCATAGTATTCCTTTGTGTAAATGTCCCACTCATCTACTGACTGACACTTGGGCTGTTTCCAAATATTAGCTATTTTAAATAATGCTGCAATGAATATAGGGGTGCATGTATCCTTTCTGACTGGTGTTTCAAGAAGTGAGGGAATGTTTTGCTGCTAAACCTACTTTGCAAAAAAATGTTAAAAGATGTGTTTTAGAGAGAAGCAAAACAGTATGGGTCAGAAAATGATACGTATCAGACCTACATAAATGATGGTGAGTAATGAAGAAGAAATAAGTGAAGATTAAATAAAAACTTAATTTTTTAAATTTTATATTTATTATTAAAAGTATTACATAGGTCTCCTTTTTTCACATCGACTTCCTCCCAATTGATCAACCAGTCAACATTGTTTAAAATAAAATAACAATAACGTATTCAATTGTGTATTCTTATATATAACACTTGAGGCTCAATGCACAAAGATTTGTGCAAAAATGGGCCTTCCTTCCCCTGGCTCCTGGCACCACCATTGCTCTGGCTGGAGCTGCCTTTCTGCCTTCCCTCCAGACTAGTGCCACCTTTATGCCTTCCCACAATGCACAGAGGCCCAGAGCTGCTGGGAAGGTGGGGAACACCCCCTGCCATTCTGTGCCTGTGTATGCAAATTAACCTGCCATCTTTGTTGGGCTAATTTGCATACTCACTCCTGATAGGCTGGTGGGATTCACAAAGGTAGTCAATTTGCATATTTCTCTTTTATTAGTGTAGATATATATATATAATCATGTATGATTCTATACAAAGAAAAATGAATAATGTTAATGGTATAAGAGATAGAAGTGAGGAATTAAGATTATATTGTTATTATAAAGTATTCACACTATGCATGAAGGGATATAATGTTCTTTTAAAGTAAGTTTGGATTATTTGTAAAGGTAATGTAACAGTCTAAAGAAATCAGTAAAAGAGTAAAAAATAAAAGTATAACCAATGCCAAGAGAGGAGATAAAATGCAATTATATAAAATATTTAATTAAAACTGCAAAAGGCAGTAAAACTATAGAAGATAAAAATAAGCATAAAGAATGTGGGCAACAAATAGGAAATAGTAATAGATATGGTAAGTATTAATCCAATTGTCTCAATGATCATTTTGAACATCAGTGGTCTAAATGTACTAATTAAAAAACAGAAATTGTTAGAGTAGATAAAAAAAATAAAACCCCACTATATGTTGTCTGCAGAAAGTGTATTTTAAATATAAAAACATGTATAGAGTAAACGTAACTATATGGAATATTATAGGCTTTCCACAGAAAATGTGTACACAAACTTTGAGTAATATAATGGCAATGTTTATTAAAATACATTTAATTTTCAAAATTGACCTACCAGCTGTTAAAGTGTATATACATTTTTGGGGGAACACCTGTATATACCATGCTTATGCTAAACAAAATAAAGCAAGAGTAGTTTTATTAATTTTAGACAGAGCTGACATCAAAGAAGGAAAGTTATCAAAGGTAAATAAGGGAATTACATAACAATAGAGGGTCAATTCTTCAAGAAAACATGACAGTCTATAATGTGTAAGTGCCTAACAACAGAATGTCAAGCCATGTGTGACAAAAACTAATAGACTTGCAAAGCAAAACTATCATAGTTGGGAATTTCCATACCACTCTATCAGAACTACATAGATCCCTCAGGCAGAAATCCAATAAGCATTGAATGGAAGAAAAAAAATTTATGCCATGTTAGTAACAAAATATTTTAAGATGTTAGATTGTTGGTATTTAATGCAACTTAACATTTAATTTCTGCAACTTAATTATAAATTAATTCAAATTATTTCACTTTTTACTTTACTTTTCTGTTTTACAATTTTCTCACTTCTAAAATGAGGTTATCTTTACAAACTAATTGCAATGATTAATACAATAACTTTTGCTTTAGGCAGCATTTCCCAAGCCAAACTGTATTGCAGAATAACAAACTTCCTAAATTCTCTACCAAGCTCTAAGAAGCAAAGATGAAGGAAATAAATCACATTGATCAAATAGGTACTTGGAGGAGAAAATGTGTGTAATGCTAAAATATTTTCTCATTGATTTTGAGACTGGGGACCAGATTTGTGGAGAGATAAACTTATGCAAACCACAGAAATAGCTGTGTGTAGCAAACTAAAATATTCTGTTTGAATGTTGCAAAGTTTTCTATATTGCAGTGATGTGGCAAGATCACTGTGATTTTGGATTGCAAGTCTTTAAGTCAGTTAAGTCTGCTGATTTTCTCTTTCTTTCTACCATAATTTGGGAAATGTTTTCCAGGTCCCTCCATTGGGCGCTGTGATTTTGAGTTTGATCTCTGTTCCTGGGAGCAGGAACAGGAGGATGACTTTGACTGGAATTTGAAAGCTAGCAGCATCCCTGCTGCAGGCACAGAGCCAGCCGCTGACCACACCTTGCGAAATTCGTCTGGTCATTACATCTTCATAAAGAGCTTGTTCCCTCAGCAGCCCATGAGGGCAGCCAGAATTTCCAGCCCGGTCATAAGTAGAAGAAGCAAAAACTGCAAGGTATGGTAAAGACAGAAATATTATGATCAACTTCTGATAGATTCAATAAGGAAAATGAAATGGTTAGGACAAGACCAAAAATGTGCTTGAATTTATCAACTTGGGATATGTGAGGAAGAAAGATGGTGAAATAAGGATGAGATTGAAGGATACTTGAACCTTTAGGAAGAAGGTGTAATCCATAAATATTTGAATTTTGAAAACCATTGGGATATTTCATGATTATTATCCAGGGATAATTCAAAAGGCATAAAATGCCAGATGTTTTCACTCAGGAAGTTTAGTACTCATTATGAGACTTTCTCCATCAGAAAAAAAACAACTATATCTATATCTATATCATCTATATCTATATCTATATCTATCTATATCTATATCTATATATGCAGTATAATCCAAGGAATATTATTAGAGATAGGTGGAGATACGATAAAATGTTTGAAGATGTCTTCATGGAAAAAGAGAGACTGAACTTGACCTCCCCCCCAAAAAAGAAAGTAGAATAATTTATATGGGTAGGAAGAAAAAAAAATGGTTTTGCCACTATCCTGTGGAAATTTGAAAAAAAGATTTATAGAGTATTAAAAGTATAAATAAGGTTATGTGGTTCTTAGGGTTAAACAAATGTATTTTCAGAATATTTCACTTTCCTTTATTTATTTTTGCTTGATGGTTTCTATTCCACAAAAATATCAAGTCAGCTACAGTAGGAACTAAACTTGGCATTATATATTATATAAATTAAGCCCTCGGGGATGTCTTCATAGGAATCTTGCTTTTGAGAGATTGATATATAAATCATTGTGTCTTTATTTATATTTACAATGAAAAGTGCAGTCTTTATAAGATCTGAACACATGATTCTGGCAGGTGTTTCCCCAAAGTTTGAGCACTAAAGGAAAAACCAATTATATCTACAAAGTTGGTAATTGATCAGAGAATCAGGCTGGGAGACAATGCATGATTTAATTCTTTAATGTCTTCAAATTATACTATTCTCATATTCCTTTCTCCACATTAGTGAGAGCCCTAACCCTGGGAAGAAGGAATATTCAATCATTGTTTACAGGCTCCCAATTGTACCTGCTTCTGTTACAGATGCTTGTTCTTCTGTTTCATGCTGACTAACCTTCACATCCTACCGCTGTCACAGTCTTAAAGCATGTTAAACCTTTAGTTTGTCTTGGGAGAGTTTCTGTCTGAGCTTAAGGTAATTCATAGGTAAATGCTCTGATAGTGATCTCATCTCTTTTATGTCTTCAGGCACATTTGATAGTTGTGCCACTCTGGTTTCACAGATTTTTCTGTAAGAAAGTGAAATGTTCAGATAAGAGTTTTAGAAAAATAACTCAGATGCCCAGAATGAATGTAATATATCATTTAGAATTATATTCAACTTTAATTAGCCTGACAATGAAAACTGACTTTTAATCAAATCTATTTTATTTGCTTTTGTTGTCTCAAAAAAAAAATTCTTGATATTTTCTAAAAAGCAAAACCCAAATACACCAGAGTTTATTTAGTTTAAGTACCTATATATTGAAAATTACAAATAAGTTCTAATCTTAGAAAGCCAATTAAAAATTAAACATGAAATACATATAAAATTCCAGTTGACTTCTAAGCATTTTTGTTTAGACACTTTCTCTAAAAATGTTCAAATTTTTTTTCTCTTTTCACTCTGTAGTAACCAAGGATTTCATCCATCTCTGTTTTCCCTGGTCCCAGAGCTGTAGTCCCTGCTGTTTTAAACATCTGTGTGAGGACAATGAAGTATGCCTCGAAGAAATGTCAAAAATCAATGATGAATGGCTTACTTCATGAATATTTGTTATATAGATTGAATACAAAGAAGTAAGGAAAGGTCAAGCTGGAAATGATTGGGTCTCTCATGTAGAAAATATATATGTATTAGATAAGCAGAAAACGACCTCCCATTTTTTTCACAAAAATCCTGTCTATCACTTGACCTTGTGGAATACCTTCAAGCAGAAAAACTCAAATTGGAGGTTTTCTTCCTTTTGAGAAATGGGTGGTGATGATGGAGATTGATGAGGAAAGAGATCAAATCTCTGAGTGACTACACTTTTAAGTGAAAATGCCTCTTTAGAATTTAATACTTATCAGACTTTTATTCACTCAGGTTGCCCTGTGATAAGTTTCTGTTGTCATCAGGTGTTCTCTGTAGAAATGGAGGTGTTTTGATGTGTTTTTTTTTTTGTTTTTTTTTTATGATAACCTACTGGCATCATTCAGAAAATGGTCTCAAGAAGATAGAGAACTATTTTCTGTGCTGTAACACATACACTTCATGTTTCTTGCACAAATGAGAAAACAGACCACACCTGTGACTAGAAAGGATCCAGAGAGACATGTGCTGTGCCCATCAGATTGTTTCTCTCATGCCTATTGGTGCTGCCCAAGAGTCTGCCCGGGCCCCTTTTGTTTCTCACTCTCAGGTGCTATGCCACCCTGGTTTCACCAGTTTTTTCTGGACAAGGCACAGGGCTCATAGATCTCACACCTTCCAACATTAATTGTTTAACAAAAAAAGAAATGTGTTTGGATTGGAGCATACTATCCAAAAGTTTCATCAGCTGGGCAATTTGAGTAGAGTCATTTACTTGGGTTATGTATTCTTCATGCTCTTTGAAGTATGCATTGCATATATTGTTTGATCATGCTTTTTACCCTTTAAACACATCCATTTTTCTTTCTGTAGAATATGCTATTGTTTCAATTAATGTATTTTTGTGTGTGAAGATCAAGCCCCATTACAGTTTTCCCTCATTCATACAAATGACAAGAAAAAAGGTTTAAAACCCTCTGAATCCTTTTTTTAAATATATTTTATTGATTTTTTACAGAGAGGAAGAGAAAGGGATAGAGAGTTAGAAATATCCATGAAAGAGAATCATCGATCAGCTGCCTCCTGCACACCTCCTACTGGGGATGTGCCCAACAACCAAGGCACATGCCCTTTGCTGGAATCGAACCCGTGACCCTTCAGTCGCAGGCTGACACTCTATCCACTGAGCCAAACCGGTTGCGGCAACCCTCTGAATTCTTATTGTTCCTAACCAGTGCTATTTTTTCTCTTAGATGTTTTTGACTCTCCCTTTCTGTGTAACAATCACTAAAAGGCTAGTCAAATTTATCTTTGAAATGTTAAAGTGTTTATTAATTTTTACTCAGGGAAAAACTCCCAAATTGCTCTTCTATAGCATGTTTCTAGCATTTTGAGTAAAATGTGAATAATTGCTGTCCTGGTGGTTTTGAAATATATAGTGGAGCCTCAAGGATCTTGTAGAACTAAAAATGTATTTCAAGTGCAAGAATGTGGTGGAATAAGCAATAAAGGATTCTGCTTTTTGGAGAAAATGATTTAAGTTTCATGAGACTGAAAATGGTTGTTTCATCCCTCTTATATTTTAATCATGAAAAGTCTTTTTGTATAACACATCACTTTTTAATCATATTTTATTTCTTTGATGGTCATGTTAAAAGTTTACTAATGAATCCTGCATTTAGAAATCACAAAAAGTAAACTCTGCTCATTTTTAAAACTAAATTTCTATTTGATCCTTATTGTACTATCCTTCATATACAGCAACATATGGTGTAAGGCTGGCCTCACTTTATTAGTACTCAGTGTTAGAGTATTCACAGAACAATAGCACATGTAGATTTAGTTTTCTTTCTGGAATTAACAAAGAGGGCAATATACTATCATTGAAAATAAAATGGGATTAATTGTACTAATTACATATAACATTCTTTCTCTTGGTTACAGATAATTTTTCATTATCACATGTATGGAAATGGCATTGGGGCACTCACCTTGATGCAGGTATCAGTCTCAAACAAAACAACGTTCCTAGTTAATCTCACTGTAGAACAAGGCAACTTCTGGCAGCGGAAGGAGCTAATACTGTCTGGCGAGGAGGATTTTCAACTCAAATTTGAAGGAAGAGTTGGGAAAGGACACCACGGTGATATTGCACTGGATGACATTGTGCTTATGAAGAGTTGTCTACCGGCCCATCAGTCCATGGAAGAACTAGCGGTGCCTCTTCCAACAGGTACACTTCAACTTGTGTTTGTTTGGAGGTTTTACAGGGTAGAGACTAGAAAGGAAAAAAAGGAAATAAAAAGCAATGACATATACAAGTAGTTATCTACTGCTTCCAAAATGAAGAAAAAAAATCCTTTGTATTCCAAAAATACAGGTACCTTTTAAGCCTTTTCTTATAAAATTATCTTCCTCATTTTCTCAAAGCTTCAGTATATTTATCAGTTCCTGAGTTCTCTGTTTAGTCAGCTGCTTCTTAGACCAATAAAATAAGACTTCTCTGCTTGCAGTCTAATACATAATCTATTATAATATTAAAAAAATAGCAGTTCACTCAATAAAATATATGTACATTGAGGACAGAGTTACTCAATTTTAGTTATACATTACTGTGGTTATGCTGTTTACTTTATTCTTTTTAGACCAACAACTCTAATTTGAGTGGCTGAGTAACTTAAATAGTTTAGATAATTGAATAAGTCCATATACTCTTTTAACCTAAAATATATTTTGGTAATTTGTTCAAGGAATTATATTAAATTTTGAGTTGGTAGGAAGCCTGTCTGACAAAGTATGGGCAGCTATGCACCTGTATGGCTCCCTCCTCAGCTGATTTCCCTGTATAAGATGCCCCTTGATTTTCAGTCTAATTATTTTAGAAAATAGTGTATTATACATAGAAAAATACAGCATTTTACCTGCCAGCACATTCAAATTGGGTTAGCCATAATTCAATTGTTTAGTATTCAGTCATGGCTAATGGCCACTCACTGGCAGCACAGGAGATGAAGTGAATATTAGGGTACTTTCAGGTCAGTCCCTGACAATGGGGTTCCATTTTTCAGGGTAAATTTTGTGAATTTCCAAGAATTGCAGTCATATTCTTATTTAAATAGAAGCACAGAAATATACCCAGGGCCAAATATGAAAGCACAAGTATCATATTCTAGTGGACTACATACTCAGATTCCCTTCTTAATAACTACATGCTGCACAGCTCTGAGACTCAGTTTCCTCATCTCTAAAGCAAATAGACCATCACCTATTTCTTAGGTTCTTGGGTTCTTATGAATACAAAGAGGTAATTGCTTATGTAATTTGTCTAGTTTCATGGCTGTCGTAATGTAAGCATTTAGTCAATAAAATTCTCATTTTATATTATGCTATATTTTGGAGCACCTTTATCATTATTCCTTAGGCAGTGTAGCCATTTGAAAGTAAGTATCCATTATTTGCATTTTTATTAAAACATGTTTTTCTACCATTTGTTTTGACAAAATTTTTTTTCTTGCAGAAACCACAAGCATGTAATTATTTTGTAGTACATTATAATCATTCAATTTTGTCATTTATTGATAATGTCTAATTTATTTTGAAATAATGAATAATATGTATGTAAGTGTATACTTAGAAATGTTTAATAAATATTAATTTATTATTACTACAAAAACACTTAACTTGAAACTTTCACAGTTTGAAGAAGGGTAATTACGTTATGTTAACATTTATTAAAGGTTTGAAAGTCACTCTAGTTCATGCAGACTTTTCATCTGTATTCAGGTATGTAGGCTAACATCTCCCTTAAGGATAGCTTAAAATTGAAAAGATAAGAGAGACAAAACATATATTTATGAAGGTGCAATTGAATTTAATCTGAAATCAGTGATTCTAATGAGCCAAATAATATCCAGGGCTTTGTTAGCAAATTAGTTATATTGTTATTAACTTCCCATAATTATATTAAGAGTTTATTTATTCATTTTTAATTTTAGGAAGGAAATGTCAATATTTTTACACTATTAAGCATATTGGATGATATGAACATAAATAAGAGTGAAAAATACATTCATAAAAATGCTTTTTAAAACTTTATTTTAATTTATTGGGATGACATTGATTAATAAAATTATATAGGTTTCAGGTGAACAATTCTATAATGCCTCATCTGTAATATTGTGTTGTCTTTTCAGCACCCCAAGTTAAGTTTCCTTTAATCACCATTTATTTCCCCTTTTCCTCTCCTATTTCCTCCCACCTTCCTTTCTCTCTGGTAATGAATGACCATACTGTTTTCTGTAAGTATGAGGGTTTTTTTGTTTGTGTGTTTGTTTGCCTGTTTTGCTTAATTCCTTCACCTTTTTCACACATCGCCTTAACCCCTCCACCTCTAAAAATGTATTTTGTTGGCAAGTCTATTAAGGATATTAAGGACCAAGTGATGATGGATAAAAATTATTGTTTAACAAATTTCAATATGAAAAATTCAAACAAGATCCCTCTCTAAATGTTCATTTGCAAATTCAGCCACTATCTGATTCTCTGTTTTATTGGCAGATATTTTTAAAAAATCTCTTAGTATAATGAGGTCAGGGAATCAGTTTTGTGTGTGTGTACTGTGTTTTGAGTCCCCACAGTTATTTTTAAATATGAGTTATGCAAGAAGAACAGTTGAGGATATAACATGGTAATCAACTTTTGATTTAAAAATATATGTAAGGCAAAGAGGGCTGAGTGGATTAGCTCCTTCTAAAGGTCACTCATTTCTCTGAAATATTTGGCAAAAGTTTAAAAGGCTTCTACCTACTGATGAGAGTGCCAGCATAGCAAATCAGACAGAGTCCTGAGTAAGGAAAATCAGGCTGATTGCACTGGCTCTGTAATTTAGTGAAGCCTTTACATAAAATTTGGTGCAAAGTGCATGTGTTTGAGGTTTAAAGACATGAACTTGGATCTCTGCACTGCTTACTACCTATGAAATCAGCCACCTGGTCTACTTAACCTCCTTAATCCTTACCTTTCTTATCTGTAAAAATGGGATTATTGTAATTTACTTCTAAGTAATTTGAACACATAATTGAGATATATATGCTTTTAAAAATACTTGGCAGATAGTTGGTTTTCAGTTTTCTTTTATCTGCCACTACTGCTAGAGGGATTATAAAATTAAACTACAGGTTGAAATTTGTTAAAAGCATAGTATCTACTTGCTGGTTTTGCTTTGTGATGTTTCATTCGTTGCTCAAAGAAATAGTTTAGATCCTTTCTGTCCCTGTTTCTCTTCAAAGGAATTGCACACACAAAAACCTCCAAATATGTAATTAGTAAACTTGCTGATTTTATTTTCTATATATAAAAGCTTAATATACACTTATGATTGTCATATTTTCTTGCTTAGATGACTCTGAATCATTATAAAATGTGTGTCTTTATGTTTGGAAGTATTTCTCCCTTTGAGTTTTATTTGTTATTTCTAATTTCATGGGATGGGATTGACATGTCTCCAGGACATATGGAAATTATAGGAATTGTTTTGCTTGGATTTTATTTCTTTAAAAATTATTTAAGTTTTATTTTACACGTTTTTATCCCTCCTTCCTTTGGAAAATAGACACTTTTATTTAAACTTTACCCTAGAATTTTAATGTGCATAAGTAACATAATACAGTTTAAAGTAACTTGGCATCTTTATCATCCTTCTTAATATTACATAGAACTTAAATGCCTTAACTCTAGTTTCCCTTCTATCCATTTACATGTAGTTGTTTTCCAAGGTTTTATTTCTATTTTGATATTTTTATATCAAATTTTGACATTACTTCTATTGTTTTCTAGAAATTTCTGTGCCAGTTTATTAGCTTTATATTTCTTCTGACATCTTTCTTCTAGGCTTATCTGACTTCTTCTTGGAAAAACATTATTTTGCAATTCTCTAGCAGGGATCTTTTGGTGATAAACTTAACAATTTTTATTTACCTAAAAATGTCTTTAATAAGCCCTTACATTTGAAGGCAGTTTCATGGGCATGTAATTCTAGATTTACAATTATTTTCTCTTAGATTAGAAGATGTTATTCCATTTGTTTAGAATTGTGTAGTTATTGTTGAGAATTTATTATTGTTACTAATTAAGAAATCACTAATTTTTTCTCAGTCTTTTGAAGAGCTCTTTCTCTGGTTGTTCTGAAATTTTATGGAGATGTTTAGAGTATATTCCGTTTAACATTGAATATCTATTTTTATAAGCTCCTCTTTCCTTCTGAAATTTTGATTAAATGCTACTAGGCTTTCTCACTGAGTCATTTCTACCTCTTAAACTTTATTACATATATCTTCAGAATTATAATTTTTATTTTATATATGTCTATTTTTCTATTTAGTCTTTATTGAATTTTGCATTCAGAATTTATAAATTTTATTTAATTTTTCTCTACCTGGACATTTATGAAAACACCATGTTTCCAATCTCTTTTATTTTTAACATATTCAATGAATTTCTCTTGTATTGTTTTCTGTAATATCTGTTTTGAAGTCTTTGTGGGCCTGTTTCAGATGGTTGGTAATTATTTCTGCCCACATTGGCTTGTTATGTTTTGAGAATTTGATTGTGAACTGATATTTGTTAGAATGCCACTTGTGTGATCTCTTTGAGGCTTAGATTATGTGGACGGTCCTTCAAACAGATGTGATTATGCTCCAACCTGACACCTGGAGTCAGCAGAGGGACAGGTGTGGTTTCAATTATAGTTCTCAGTGTGATCTGAAGGACTGGCCAAATAATATAGACATATAATATAATGTCATATATTATGTAATTCTTGTATAATATATAGCTAATAAGAAAAAAATACCTATATAACAAATAGCTAATATCAATTTTTAAGAAATGTTACTTTTATTTCCATCCAGATCAAAAGCCAAATCATATAATGATATCCTACACTGCCTTTTTTTTTTCTTTTCTTCTCCTTTCCCATTGATTTCAAGAGAGAGGGGAGGGGACAGAGAGAGGAGCGAAATCAATGTGAGAGAGACACATTGATTGGTGGCCTCCCACAAGCACTCCCACCGATGAAATTAAACCTGCAACCCAGGTACATGCTCTAGGTGGGGAATGGAACCCGTGACCCTCCAGACCGAGGGCTGATGCTATAACCACTGAGCAACAACATCTAGGACCTATGGTGATACTTAAAAAATTTGTATTTTATTTTTATTTTGGGGTAGAAGACTT